TGCTGGATAAAATGCCTTCCCACGCAGTGGGAGTTACGTGGCATGTTTGACCATACTTCACCTCGCTGGTCAGAGCAGCATGGTCAAAAGGGTGTCAGGAGAGGGCAGGACTGGTTTAGACATGCTACTGTAACTCGCCACTGATGTTAGCCGTGACCAGGAATCTCACCCAGGTAAGATTCAGGCTCGTTGCGCAATGCGCTAACCACTGTACCACCGCTCCACGATCCATTAATACGTCTCGCCAATTCATATCGTCCCTTGTATATACGTGGAACTTCTTTTGCACCGCACGTAGCCAACGCTGCTAATCGGAGGTGCGAGGAAGGACAACAAACTAACACACAAACAGCAGTTTTGGGTGACTACATCATTGACATGTTTGTGCAGATAATATCTATTGACAGACTGTTGGGGCAAGTTCTGTTAGCGAGCATCTATGAAGGCCGGCACGGCACACGAGGGGGTGGGTGGCCAACACCACGCCCGACCGCCTTTGTCTCCCCAGTGTGCGATGTTTACACACACCGCACCAGGTACTCATTTGTTGCTGAGTCGACCGAAGGGAGGTCCAGATCCGGCGCGGATAATCGTCACTGGCGTTGGACCGCGAGCGGGAATCGAACTCGGGACTCTGCCGGGTTCGTCATCGCAGCGCGCTGACCGCTACACTACCGCTCCCCCACAGACACACACACAGACTCGTGCCACACAGACTCGTGTCACACAGACTCGTGTCACACACACAGACTCGTGCCACACACACAGACTCGTGTCACACAGACTCGTGTCACACACACAGACTCGTGCCACACACACAGACTCGTGCCACACAGACTCGTGCCACACAGACTCGTGCCACACACACAAACTCGTGCCACACAGACTCGTGCCACAGACTCGTGCCACACACACAAACTCGTGCCACACAAACTCGTGCCACACAGACTCGTGCCACAGACTCGTGCCACACACACAGACTGGTGCCACACACAGACTCGTGCCACACACACAAACTCGTGCCACACAGACTCGTGCCACACAAACTCGTGCCACACACACAAACTCGTGCCACACAGACTCGTGTCACACAGACTCGTGCCACACAGACTCGTGCCACACAAACTCGTGCCACACAAACTCGTGCCACACAGACTCGTGCCACACAGACTCGTGCCACACAGACTCGTGTCACACAAACTCGTGCCAAACAGACTCGTGTCACACAGACTCGTGTCACACAGACTCGTGCCACACAGACTCGTGCCACACAAACTCGTGCCACACAGACTCGTGCCACACAGACTCGTGCCACACAGACTCGTGTCACACAGACTCGTGCCACACAGACTCGTGCCACACAGACTCGTGTCACACAGACTCGTGCCACACAGACTCGTGTCACACAGACTCGTGCCACACACACAGACTCGTGCCACACAAACTCGTGCCACACAAACTCGTGCCACACACACAAACTCGTGCCACACAAACTCGTGCCACACAAACTCGTGCCACACAGACTCGTGCCACACAAACTCGTGCCACACAAACTCGTGTCACACAGACTCGTGTCACACACACAGACTCGTGCCACACAAACTCGTGCCACACAAACTCGTGCCACACACACAAACTCGTGCCACACAAACTCGTGCCACACAAACTCGTGCCACACAAACTCGTGTCACACACACAGACTCGTGCCACACAAACTCGTGCCACACAAACTCGTGCCACACAAACTCGTGTCACACACGCAGACTCGTGCCACACAAACTCGTGCCACACAGACTCGTGCCACGCAGACTCGTGCCACACAAACTCGTGCCACACACACAAACTCGTGCCACACAGACTCGTGCCACACAAACTCGTGCCACACAAACTCGTGCCACACAAACTCGTGCCACACACACAGACTCGTGTCACACAGACTCATGCCACACAAACTCGTGCCACACAAACTCGTGCCACACACACAGACTCGTGTCACACACGCAGACTCGCACAACTGCACGCGAGGAGCCCCCCCCCCTCCCCTCCAACAAGGCAGGGAGAAACGCTCCGCCCCTCTCACCCTGGCTAAAGGGCAGCCGGTATACCTCGCGGTGGCAGCTCCGGCACGGCGCAGTGGCTCGGAGGCTTGCGAGCAGCGAGTCTGCTTCTGAACCAAGCCCCTTCCCTCGTCTCCCACAGCCAGCGGCCAGCAGCACTCCAATTACCAGCATCGGCAAGCAGCAGCATCATCATCATCATCATCGACTTCAACGCCGTGCGTTGAAGTTCCCTAATCTCGACGGCTGAGACCACCCGTGCAGTTTTTGCATGAACGTTTTGAGAGAGAGCGAGAGAGAGAGCAGCGGTGGATTCTAAGGGCACTTCCGAAAAGTGGCTTTGTCATTTTTTTACAAATAAAAAAAAGGACCCAGGTAAGTTGCGTCTCGCTCACTCACTCACTCACGTCGGCCCGTTCACATTGTTTGTTGGTTTAATGCGGACTTGAATTGCTGATGGCACGTGGGGATGTCGCTGCGTGCATTGTTTGTGCAAATGAATGTTTGGGGAAGGGGGTGGAAAAGTTGCCTGTAAGTGGCAGATTCGGCGGAGTGTGCGGGGTGGCGGTGGCGCAGTGGTTAGCGCACTGCGCTACGAACGCGGCCCTCCCTGGGTTCGATTCCGGGCCGCAGCTACCGCCAGAGGCGAGTGATATTTAGACTTTGCATATACCGATCCTACCGGGGGAGGGGGGGGGGAAGAGTTGAATTTACGAGGTCGACCGACTCTCAAAATCAGCATTACCTAGTGCCGTGTGTAAACGTCACCACTGGAGAGACAAAGGCGGCCGTGTGTTGCGTGTTGGCCTTAATGTGCTCGTTAACAGCGCTTGTACCGGCAACATGGAAGTATATGTCTAAACGGAAGACCTTTGCGCATAAGCCATAATAATGCTCTGCAGTACGCAATGTGTATGTCGGGCAAGTGAATGTAACTTGAGCAAAGCATATTGATTTAATTGTCTTGCAAGAAAGAGTAATGCCGTCGTCTAAGACAGGTTCACGGGACCGGTGGACTAAGCATATTGCTATTGCACACTCGCGATTGACATGTTCATTCGTGATTGGCTGTACGCGAGTAAAATAGTGTGCAGGACGTTAGCGTGTGATGCACCTTTGCATGGATGACGTGGAGTATGTTCGTGAATGAGAGGACGTGTCAAGCGAAAGATGTCCTTACTGGATATCTGTTAAACTACTGGACGTCTGCGGAAAAAAAGCGCTTTATAGCTCATCGCATTATATGCATGCTGAACTTATTTCGCACTTATTTCGTACGTAGCCAACCTTGATAATCGGAGGTGCGGATTCCTCCGGTATAATTAGATATTCTGCTTCTGATTTAAAAAAAAAACCCTAACGTGGTATTGCTCCATTGCAGTCTGTTTGATTTCGTTTCTCGGTGGAGGAAATTGCATTAGTGTGTTCGCAGCAAGACACTCTCCATGCAATGGATTGTTTGTACGAGCCTAAAGTACACAGATCAGGATCCACAGACTGATACAGCTGCCAGTCGCTTGTTAGCAATGGCAATATTCGTTGTATCGATTATTTGAGTTCGACACCTGGGCACGTCCAACATCCGTGGCGACCGCTATCCGAACCGGTCGTGGGCACCCTCCCCTAGGTATACTCGACCTTAAAGTAAGTACGGTAGAGACATTCTCCACTCCTCCAACCCGCACTGGCGCGCGGCGGCTATCATCCAGCAGTGGATAGACGGCAGAGGACGGCGAATCACGATCGTCAGGGATGCCCGTGGTAACGAATCGCGCTTCGCTGAGCGAGACCCCCACCTCACTGCTGGGCGAGTGAGCGAGCGAGCGAGGAATGAATGAATGAATGGACGCTCCTACGGACAAAGTTACTCTCTCTTCTGGAAGACTTCGCCGCTTTTTCCTGGATTTTTTTTTCTGTTGCGCGTAGTCACTTTAAGATGTTCCTTGTTTATGTTTTTGTTTGTTGCGGTTGCACCCGAGTCAAGAGCCGCATGGCTCACGGGGCTATATGCCTAATACATGAAACTGAAACGGGAATCGACTGCTCAACGCTCGTAGGCAGAGCGAGTGCCATTCACCTGGGGCTCTCCAACCCCTAAGCTCCACAAGAATAAACACAGTTAATCGGTGCACAGGACGCGCGAATCAGTCGCTTGTATCAACATCACATCCGATGCATTTTTGTTGTGCGTGTTTTTTTGTTGTTGTTTTACGACAAACAAAAAATTGTCGCGCAAGTTCAACGCACGCACATTTCTCGCTGCGGGAGGGGGGGGTGGTGGAACGTTGGCGCAGCGGTTAGCGCATTTCTGCTACAACGGGGGGGGGGGGGGTGGTGGGGAGGATCGCGAAGCCTGCGGCTCCTGCAGCCGTGGGCCGTGGGGGGCTCCGCGAGAACCGCTTCGTGACGTAATCTAGTTCATAGTCATATGCATTACGGCTCTTGAAATATTTTAGGGGGAGGTGGGGGAGGGGGTTGTTTGAGCAAATTCGAAAATAAGTCTCTCCTCTTCTCTCGTGATCTTGGTTGCCGACCCCCTAGCACGCCGCAACAAACCTGACCGCCCACCCGAGTTCGACACCTCCCCCCACCCCTCCCCCGGGTGGCCAGGGACATCATCAGTGGCACGGGGATTTCTTCACTGGACCGAGGCTTCTCATCAATCCGCTTTGACAGCGGAGTGGTGGCGAGGACGACGCCGTACGGTCAAACTAACCCACGGGTTTGGGGGGGGGGGAGACCTTCATCCAGCAGTGGATAGCTGAAGGGCGGTACGGACACAGGGGAGACGTACATGCAATATTTCTGAGGTTACTACACGTTAATGTCCACACGTCTCATCTTCAACGGATTATAAGACGCCCCCTCCCCCACCCACCCACCACTCAGCCTTGTATTTGGAAGCAAAATTTAGAGGTGCGTCCGACAATCCGCTGTGTGAGTGTGTGTGTGAGTAACCAATTACGTTACACTTTGATCACAGCGTCAATACGGCACAGCGGTCTCATTCGTATTCCACCAGAGAGGACCGTGCTGCAGCAGCGCGTCCTGGCGTGCGATGGGGTAAAAAGTGTTTCTGCTCCCACCTCTTCAAACAAAAAAGGGAAAGAGGTCTGGCCGGCGTGGAAGAGTAGGCCAAAACACCCTCTTCGCTGGGCTCTCACTCGCTACTCTCGAGCGCCCGCTACCGACGGCAGTCGCGCGAGCGGGTCATTTGCGGAGCTGCGCCTTTACCGTCCCTCTGAGAATCCCCGCGACGACGTTGCAGGGCTGCAGCCAGCGACGGGAGCCTCAGGGAACCGTGGATCTATACCGGCGACGAGTCGAGAAAAAATCCCTCGCCCGCTCCCGCCACGCGGATGCCGCAGATTTCCCGTAGACTGCGCTCGCGCGCGTGGTGGGGGGGGAGGGAATTCCTCCCGCGCGTGTCGGGCTGGCCGATGGATCTGCCACGCGGTTTGAATGACAACGAGAAGATGGCCACGGCACAGGGAGGAGACACGGACGGACCCCTGCGGTGTGGGGGAGCGGTAAGGGTGGCGGGTTAGCGCCCTGCGATACGCACCCGGCGAGCTGACGCTCGACTCCCGATCACGGCCAACGCCAGGTGACGATTATTATCGGACACGGTGCCGGGCCTCCCCTAGGTCGACTCCGCCTCAAATGAGTGTGTGAACGTGGCCACTAGGGAGACAAAGGCGATCGGGCGTGGCGCTGGCAACCCACCCACTCTCTTGTGTCGGTGCCGGCCTTCGTAGGTGCTCGCCAACAGCACTTGCCCCCAACAGCCGGTTAAAGGCTATACTGGATACATTTGTCTTTGTACATAGCTTTCCACACACTCATTCAGGGATTCATTTCGTCCTGGGGCGAGCTACGGAAAATCTCTCTCATGGGGAGTTTGGGATTAGTGGGCTCCCGATATGAGCAATCCCTGTATACAGAAAGTGTTGTCCGTAGCCAGAATGACCGTGTTAAACACTCTGAATAACTGCATGCGTAATAGCCACGGAAACACAACTTCCTACTTCGTGACATTATTTCTTAATGAGTGGTAGCCACCACTCGCCAAAAAAAAAAACAATATAAGACCCAGCTGACCATCGCAGCGAAAGTCGATGTGTGTGCGTATGTGAACGCTTAACCCAACATGTCATGTAAGAACCACAAAGATGCATCGCGGCATCTATCCAATTTTAAGATCTACAATTAAACTGCTTGCTACGTAAAACAGATACTCACCGTCTTCCCTCCATATCCAAAGCCCTCCACATCACGGTAGCGCGCCCCCTCCCTCCCTGTGTATAACCCCTCCACCAAGCATCGTCTCAGCGCTCCCTTATTACAAACCCGTGTCACCCTTCTGCATCACCGCCCAATCAACCCTCCACAGGTACCCACGCCTTCGCAATCACCCCAGCCGTTCCAGCCAAACAATAGCAGTCACTCGCGTAATCGCCGTATCCTCTCCTTCCCTTTATCGGTCACCGTACATGCATCGCTCCGGGCATTCTACCTGGCTACGCGTGCACCCATCTCATCTCTGTTGCGTCATAGCTGGGCCATCCACTTGTGCCCCCTATGTCAGTGCGAGCCATTATTATTTTTTTTTTACTTCAAATATGCGAGACGGGGAGTGGTGGCGCAGTGGTTAGTGCACTGCACTATGAACCAGTCGACCTGAGTTTCGCTTCCCGCTCACGGCCATCATCAGTCGCGAGTGAAATCCGAACCGGTTCTGTCCGAGCCCCCTACCTGCACCAACTCGTACTGACTAGCGCGGTGAAGCATGGTCAAACAACCCTCCACATGACCAAACCCATCTGTGGATTGACTAATGGCTGTACATTATTGATATTAACACAAAAATGCGTAATATGTTCATGAATTATTGAAACTATATGCGTGCATAAATAATAATGTCAATAATTATGGAATTGATTCTAATTATTACTATAATTATTGGCACTGCCATTAATACTGAATGTGATTATTATCAATAGCTGTGCAATTACGTGCATCAGATTTGTAGCTTGTAGGCGATATCCGTCACGTGCATTGCTGTACACACGTCTCGTTTGACATTTATGTGAAGTACACGCATGCGGCCCGTGTCGCACCCAGCGTATCGTGCGTGGCCGGCGAACACATCGCACTTTGTGTGTGTGTGTGTCGCTATGCCCCATTGCTATGGCGCGTACGTGTAGCCGCGCAGTACGCATCCACAGCTCATTGATGTCGTCTTCCGAGAGCCGTTAACGTGAAGTGTCAGCAGCGATCCGTACCAATAAAACGCACGCGTGCCCCCCCCCCCCCCGCGCCCCCCCCCCCCCCCCCCCCCCCCACCTGAAAGCCGCGTGCGTTCGTACGCACGTTCATTGCGTTAACGCATTCCCCGTGATTGAAGCAGATGGCAGCCACGGTGATGTCCATTGCCGCCTTCCTGACGGAGAGCTGGGCTGCCATAAAATAGAGAACGAAGGGAGGGCAGTTTAAGGAGATGCGTCGCCGTTGTTTTGTTTGAACCGGAGACTTTACAGCCATGGCGCATGGCCCGTGAGCCGGAGGGTTTGGTCAGTACCACATGGGCTAGCGAACGCCACCAGTGGTGACCGTGGGGGATAACTTTGGGTACGTACCGGCCTGTGTTGTTACCCGCTCTTCCTATACAGGGTGGCCCAAAAGTCAGGACCCATAGGGCGCTTTGAATTATTTCAACACATTGGTTCTATTGGGTAAAGTCACGTAGGTAAAAAACAAAATAACAAAAATCACGACGTTTCGGCCACAACACAAGCGGCCTTCATCAGGTGAAGGGACGAGACTGTCTGGAGGACAGCGCTGGAGTAAGACATTTTTATAGTTTATTCTTTAAATTCATGTTGTATCTATTATAATATATTTTTCTTCTTCTTCTTGGGGGAGTCACCCCACATCCATTCTTCACAAAACTCGACCGATAACCCCTGAATGTATGTAGGCAAACAACACATGATTGATGAAAGTTAAAATATCACGGCAGTAATCTTATTTTTTCTGGTAAAGTACTGAATTAATTTCGGGAAGAGAATTCACGCACACATGAGAATTATAATCGAATTTATCCTGGAGGAAATCCGATGAGCTATGAAGCTCTTTTTTTTAGAGATATCCAGCCAGGGGCCGGTGACATCAACAAACAATACAAACCATCAGAGTGCAAAGTGGAGAAAATTTTAACAAAGTCACTAAAAATGTATAAACAAATATGAAGTACAAGAAGAAGTTATAATTTGCACAGGTACGTAGATGTTCGCGCAAGTTCACTTGAACATTTGTTAAAATAACTTAAATAACCCTGTGTATTCTCACCTTGTCTAAATGTATCACGTCATCACATTGCCTGCCCCCCCCCCCGCTCCCACCCACACAAAAGCGATATTCTCTTTTCAAAGATACCAACATAGTAGCCTTCATTTTCGAAAAAAAATTCTCATCGAAAGCTACCGCTCTGACGTGGCTATCGAACATATTTGTGATCTAAAGATAAGTTTATTTAATAAAATCATGGTTAGCATTTAGCCCCCCCCCCCCCCCGTGGGTGTTACTGATAAGGATTTTTTTGTTGAACTCAAAGATCAAACAAACCGAGGGGCATTCAATGGTGGTCCTGCGTCTCCAAACTAAACTAAAGCTCTTTTTTTTGTTTTACCAGGTAAGGCCCCCTGGGCGATATAGGTATTTTTCAGAAGCGACCTGGTTATCACAAATTATAGCTCAACGAAGTGGGCTTATCAGCACGTGTGGACATTCATAATAGCAGCCAAATACTCTAAACGCATGTTGATTCTAAATGTGGAGGGAAAAACTGGAGGGATCTGGAGAAATATCCACACGACCATTGGGAGAGAGGGACATGAAAACTCCAAATATACAGCAGGCTTCAGGGTCGGGATCGAACCCACGACCTCCTGTGTACCACGCGTGGTAGTTGACATCTCCTAGCCACCGTGGCGCGCTTAACCTTAATTTGCCACTACAGGGTATGCTTTGGTCATACGGCTTTGGACAGCCAGATTCGCGTTGGCTATGCGTTGCTGGTTCAAATGCACCGCAACATTGTATGCAGAGGCACAGATGACCTTAACACTGTACTCCGCGCGCGCCTGACCACGTAACGGGCACCCATACCACTCCATCTCAAGACTGGAGCATCGATCTGCCGCAGATTTATATTCTACTCTTCCACATCAATCACGCTCTGTGTGCCATTAATGTGGATAATCACCGTATTTACTTTTGGCAAGCCGGCTTTATCATGATATAACCCCACCCACGCCAGTATCCACCCAAAACACCAAAAAATCAGTTTAAAAAAAAAAATCTCATATTCCAGTAAATAACTTGTGGATTGGCTTTTTTTAAACGAAACTACCACGGCTTGTGTAAAAAAAAATGTATTTGTGTTGGTCAAATAAACGGAACGTATGCATCAATTCATCACCAGACTGTTGGAATGCAGTCTGGAAGAACCGCTGGCACGTCCTGTCGGCCTCGTGGCTGTGCTTCTGCGCCCATATTTAGGGCCACCCTACCCAGACATAGTTTGAGTGTGAGGTGGGTCTGTGACTCACAGGCGGTGTAGCAACGCTCGGCACAAGTAAACCAAGCAGAGCGCTTAATGGCCCTTGATCAGCTCCAAGTGGGAGAAAGTGGGGGGGGGGGGGTTCATAAATCACGACCGAAAAAAATCCGTTGGATCAAAAATGAGTTAACATTCAAATCCTAACAACCGTGGTCTGTTCAGAGGCGGCACCGGCTTGGGGAGAAGTTTAATGATGATTGTTAACGACGTGATTAACATAAAAACGAATTAACATGAATGGCAATTCAACTCTATCTTGACCAGCATATCTCTTCTCTAATCTCACCACGTATATATTTGTTTGTGTGTGCCTGCATTCCCCTTATCTCACTGCATCTCTCGTCTTTGTCTCTTTCGTCATCTCACTTACGAGTTGATAAATCGAAAGTAGGGGGGTGGGGTTGGGGGAGGGAAGAACGCAAATATATATTTCTACTTAGAGCCCTCAATGGGTTAAGATCGACACTGTCCACAGACGGGCTGATGCTAGGACTGCATCACAACACTGAGTCATCACCACTGAGCCATCACCACTGAGCCATCACCACTGAGCCATCACCGCTGAGTCATCACGACTGAGTCATCACCACTGAGCCATCACCACTGAGCCATCACCACTGAGCCATCACCACTGAGTCATCACCACTGATCCATCACCACTGATCCATCACCACTGATCCATCACTACTGAGCCAGCACCTGAGTACAATCCTGGGGCTCCCACCCAAGATAAAGCTGGCCTCTGCCCACGGCTGCACGCTAAAACGACGTACAAGTGAAGATTGTCCACGTGATTTCAGTTGCGCCGATCGCCCAGAGGACATCCATTAGGCAGGCGCATACTCAATAATCATGCAGCCGCTTGCCTCTACGGCCGAAGACGATGGCGAAGCCGTGAGAAATTGC